AACTCCCCAACCAACCCAGATCTCCCTCAAAACAGCGCATTTCCCCCAACCCCGAAACCCCCATTTCTCCCAATCAACGCATTTCCTAACCCCACACCCCCCTCTCCTCTCTCAACGCAGAGAGACGGACCCCAACCAGCACACGCTCGACACCCTGGAACAAGCCATAGCGGTGTTGATCGAGCGAGCGGGCGGCGGCGTCAACGGAGGCGTGAATGGCGTCGCGGACAAGTCTTCGAGGCCGAGTCACGACAAACGGCCGGTCAATGGTGGGTTGCTTGACGGGGCTTGACAGGGCTTGAACAGGATGTGTGTGTGTGTGTGTGTGTGTGTGTGTGTGTGTGGTGTGTGTGTGTGTGTGTGTGTGTGTGTTGTAGGGTTTGGAATTAAAGGGAAATGTTCTAGTTGAGGGTTGATAGAAATTGTTTATGGTATTGTATGAATATATTAATAGATTCTATGACTTCGATTACGTAGCATAGAGAGGAAATAAAGTAACTGTACGTGTTTATAGAGAGCATGTGATAAATAAAAAGAAAATGGTCGTAATACTTAAAAGATAATACTTTGTGATTTCTTGGTGAATTGCATGTTTTATTTTTTTTTGTGTTTTTTTTTTCGTTTCATGTTTTGTTTTATTTTGATTAGTAATGAAGGAATGGTATGATTTTTTTTGTTTTTTCTTCTTTTAGAATAGAAGCTAAATGATTGCATTGTTGCATTGGTGCTGGATCTATTGTCTGTTTTTTCCCTTCGTCCAATCTAAAGTGCTTGCTTTTAGCTGACTTATGAATGTCATTGAGTGCTACCTCTTCGTACCCCCCTCTCCCCCTCTCCCTTCCCACCCTCCCCCTTTCCCCTCCAAGTCCATACCCCCCTGCTCCCCTACTATTCCTCCTCCCCCCTCCGTCTCTCTCTATCCTTTGGTATTCCTTTTTTTCATTCTCTCATTCTACTTTCCTCCCCCTTCCCCCTCCCTATTCCTATTCCGACATCTTAATAGTCTCTACTTTATCTGTCATTATTAATTCTCTCTTTTCCTTCTCTCTCTGTTTCCTCTCTACCATTTTGTCTCTTGCTCACTCCCAAGTCTCTCTCTCTCTCGCTCTCTTTCTCTCTCTCTCTCTCCTCCTCTCTCTCTCTCTCTCTCTTCTCTCTCTCTCTCTCTCTCTCTCTCTCTCTCTTCTCTCTCTCTCTCTCTCTCTCTCTCCTCCTCTCTCTCTCTCTCCCTCTCTTCTCTCTTTCTCTCTCGCTCTCTTTCTGTCTGCCTGTCTGTCTGTCGTCCCTCCTTCCACCTCCCTTCTCCTCATCCTACTTCACTTTCACTCAATCCCAACTCCACCCCACCCAACTTTCCCTCCCTCCAACCCCACCTTCACCCAACATTTCCTAACCCACCTCGAAACCCCAGTTCATCTCAACCTTCTCCCCAGCCCCCAACCTTCCTTCCCCTCAACCCACCCCCACCCACCAACCTTCCCTCCCCCCAACCCAACCTTCCCTAGCCCCCAACCCACCCACCTTCCCCCCAACCCACCCTACCCAACCAAACCTTCCTCCCCCCTTCAACCCACCCAACCCAACCTTCCCCCCCAACCCCCCCACCCAAACCTTCCTCTCCAACCCCCCCCCAACCACCCCCACAACAACTTCCTCCCCCCAACCCCACCCAACAACCTTCCTCCCCCAACCACTTCCCTCCCCCCTCAACCCACCCCCACCCCCACCACCCAACCTCCCCTCCCCCAACCCACCCCACCCAACCAACCTTCCCTCCCCCCCAACCCACCCCCACCCAACCAACCTTCCCTCCCTCAACCTTCCCAACCCCCCCCAACCCAACCTTCCTCCCCCCCCCCCCCCAAAGCCAGCGAAGTGACCCCGCCTCCCTTCCTCCTTTCTAGGCCTCATCGACTCCTCCACTAAGGTGATCTACTTCACCGAGCGGACTGTGACGCTTTTTCATGTCCACGATAAACAAACGACTTGGAGACATAAGACTGCGGGACTTCAAGAGCATGTTTGACAGGCCGGGCCTCTTCCGGTTCCACTTCAAGAGCCATGACCCCGAGTACGGGATGGTGAAGGAGGAGGTGGGTTTGTCGAGGGCGACCGAGGGGTCGAGGTTGGAATTTTGTGCGTGTGTGAGGGTGCGGGCGTGTGTGTGTGTGTGTGTGTGTGATGGTGCGTTTTATGTGTGTGTGTGTGTCTGGTTCTTTCTATTTCTCCCTCTCTCTCTCTCTTTTCTCTTTCTCTCATTCTCTCTCTCTCTCTCTCTCTCTCTCTCTCTCTCTCTCTCTCTCTCTCTCTCTCTTCTCTCTCTCTCTCTCTCTCTCTCTCTCTCTCTCTCTCTCTCTCCTCTCTACCTACCTATCTATCTATCTATCTTTACATGTATGTACGTGAATGTGTGTGCGGATGCGTATGTGTATCACTCCCACATAGAAGACCCCTGGACAGGATCGCTTACTATGTTTCACTAATAATCTGATTGGATGCG